TGGTGGCCCTTGGAACCATGAACATTATTGGGTCCTTGACTTCTTGCTACATATCTACGGGTAAGAAGAACATTCTTGATTGAATCAAATCAAAAATGAATTTTCAATTAGTATGGGCCTCAAATGAAAATTTCTGTTATAATCAAATGTAATGCATTAAGAGCTAACTCAACTATGTGGTAATGCTCTCAAAGTTACTTGCTCTTTATTTGATAGGAAACACTTGAAGATCTCAAGTAATTCCTATCAATCTTTAGAAAACAACGAAAATCCTCCACAAGAATCCACACAGAACCGAGAAAACAGTAGAAAATTTGTATTATTTGATGAAATAGAAACGAAAAATACCTAGATACAATTGATCCTCTATTCGAGAGGATGATCTATCTCTCCCAAATCTCTAGATGCTGCTAGAGTCCAAAGGAAAACCTAAATCTAAAAGATCTCAAATTTCAGCCAAATTCAAGATGCCCTAACCCTAGAAAAACAAGGTATTTAATGCATACAATTCAAAAAGAAAATCTCTAAACAGTCCCTACATTCAAATTTCCCTTCCAAATCTCTCAAAATTATTTCCTAAAAAGTTCTGCCAGCTTCTGCGATGTAGACGGGATACAAGAGAGGCAGGATTTCTCTGCCTCTCTGCCTCTGTCTGTGTGAACCGGTCCCATAGGGACCGGCTGGACCTGTCTAACATTATCCTCGCTCATCCCTGCTTGAAGAATGGCAAGACTATTGGGAGCCATACATTGCATGAATCACACAATCCTAACCAAACTATCTAGTTTGATATCATTTGTACAGGAGGACCATTAGTAATCCAATTTGAGCCAAATGTAACCTGAAAGCTTAAGTGATGGATGATGGCTTATTAAGATCTATATAAGAGTTGATATTAGTTTTGCATGTAAGGCAAAATATGAGTTAATTTCTTAAGACTCTTGTTGCGTCCTGGAATATTCGCGGCAGTAGATAAATAGAAAATTTAATGTCTTCGCTATATACGAAAACCCAGCACACAAGCAGATAAAAGAGAGGGCGTTCATAAGATACACCAAAGTTTTTACATGGAAACCCTTGAAAAGGGGGAAAAACCACGGGGCCTCATTTGAACCACAGTTTGAATGAATCCACTATTATTTGCTACATCAACCCAAGGCCTTCCCCCCAAAGAAGGGCCTCATTTGCAATCGATTGCAAATAATAGTGGATTCATTCAAACTGGGCCAAACCTCATAGTTTTTCCCCATTTTCAGGGGTTTTCACATAAAAACTCTGGTCTCTTATGAACGCTACACCCTCTCTTTTATCTGTTTGTGTGATGGATCTTCATACAAAGCTAATACATTAAATTTTATATTTCTCTACTACCGCAAATATTCCAGGACGCAACAACTCTAATAGTTTCCCTTTCAAATATTTTTACACCAACATATTTTTCAACCATATAATATTGAACTAATTTTATTACTCTCACATATCATAATAGAAATATCGCAACAAACAAGAAATTAAAGTTTATATGTTCTTCTTCTAATCAGGTTCTTTCTCAAGATCAGCAGTGAATTACATGGCTGGATGTCAAACAGCAGCTTCCAATATTGTTATGTCCATAGCAGTAGGATTGACATTGGCAGTCCTCACTCCCCTCTTCAAATACACACCAAATGCAATCCTTTCCTCAATCATCATCAATGCTGTGATTGGCCTCATTGACTATAACGCAGCTATACTTATCTGGAAAGTTGATAAGATGGACTTCATTGCCTGCATGGGAGCATTTTTTGGTGTGATCTTTGTTAGTGTTGAGATTGGCCTCTTAATTGCGGTAAGAGATTTATTATCTTTGTCTTCAATTGCTTCTAATTAAAAAATATGATCTAAGCTTGTTCCTTTCTTCTTACAGGTTTCAATATCATTTATTAAAATCCTTCTTCAAGTGACTAGACCAAGAATTGTTTTACTTGGTAATCTGTCAAGAACTTCCATTTACAGGAACATTCAACAATATCCTGAGGCAACTACAGTTCCTGGATTTGTAATTGTTAGAGTTGATTGTGCTATCTACTTCTCAAATTCTAACTACGTCAAGGAGAGGTACATAACCCAATGACTTGATGATTCACCTATGATTGGATGTCAAAACATTCTTATAAATAGAAGAACCTATGATAATCCCTCTTTATTTCATGAGTGTTTTTTTTTTATTGTTTGTTTTTGCTTTATTATCAAGAGTTTAATGTATATGAAACCTTTATCTAGGGGTATCAATATTTTACCCGACCCGAACCCGAATCGGGTCGCGTTCGGTTTAGAGATTTCGACCCGTCTGTAAAACCAGGTCAAATTCAAGTTGACCCGGAAACCTGAAATCAACCCGGTTTGACTTATTTTTAATTAATTTAAGAGGGTTTTAAAATATTATTATGAAATAAGTAAATGTTATTTCCAAAAAATAATAAACAATATTGCCCAAATTAAATTAAGCTTGGTTGATTTTGAATTGATTAAAATAAATATTACCTTAATTTGATTTAGGTTTAAAAAATTTGAATTAAATAAAAAAAAATTAGTAAAACAAACCTGAAGCGGGTCGGATTCGGCTTGACTCGGACTAGAAGCGGGTCAAGTTCGAGTCCGGAAAACCGACCCTTTTGCAAAAACAAGTCGGGTTCGGGTCATGTTGTATAGTGCCGGGTCAGTTCCGGGTTGGACCCGAACCCGACCCATAACCTGATTTTGACAGCCCTACCTTCATCTACTTGACTCTAGGCCAAAATATGTGAATGTTCAGAACCGAAGCTTAAAAACATGGCTTTAAAGGGCGCTATATTAGATTAAAACCATTTCATGCCAGTTATTCTTAAAATCAA